TTGGACCGGACAGGCTATTTTGGATTGGGCTGGGGGGGAATTAATTCACTTGGGCCTGGATTTTAATCCAGGTCCAATTTCCTTTCACAATTTATATATATTTTCTAATTTTATTTAAATTATAAAAAATCCTAATAAAAATTATAAAACAATTTTTAACCTTACACAAAAATATTAATTACTTCATAACAATTATTTAACACATAGTCAAAAACATTAATCACACAGTGGGATATTTAAAATAGAACTAACGCATATATTTTTTTTTATTTAAATTATCTTTTAAAATGCATAGTTATATCCTATATGCATGCAACATGTATTTTATTTTATTTTTCATTTTATCATGACAAAGTAAACATTTACGGACATAAACAAATATTTAACACCACACAAATTCAGAAATTACACAGTAAAAGAAATTTATTTTATTTTTGATTTATTTTGGAGTAGTTTTTTCGTAAGGCAAAAATCACGTGCTCACACCACTATGGAAGTGCTCAAACCGGTCATGTCATCATATGACCATGCGAAAATGTACTCATATTCTTTTAGGAAACGAATGTACTCTTCTTTCTCTGTTGATGACAAGTGGATGCTGATGTGAGTCTCCTTGACGGTCTCGGCGTCTCCCAAATTCACTATTTCTATTTCGTCTAGGTTCGACTTAGGCTTATTCTCAAAATTTTCAACCTCCCGGACAATTTCCTCGGGTACCTCATCTTATTCCTCTGATTCACTATTCTCATGTTGTTTTGCCTCATTACATGTCACAGTCACTGGTTTATCAGGAAAAGTAATAATAATGTTGTGGAAAGAAAAAGTGTAAAGATAATAGTGAATAATAAAGAGCAAATGTATTTGATTAAAACTTGAAAAATTGTTCAAACAAAGCACGACTCGATGAATCGAGCATTTATTTTGAAACAAGTAAAGATTAAAACGAAACTACAGAAAATTTTAAATGCCTAGAACGGCTATATAAGTAAATTCTGCCAAGCTACCTAGGGACTCGGTGGGCTCGGGATGGTGTGGCGGTCCAGTTTCTGAGAACAACTCCATTCTCTACAGTCTGAATGGTGAGGCCTTCTTCCTCCTCCTCCTCCTCCTCAATTATGGCACCGCAATCCATATCTTCATCCTCCAAGAACAAAATCTTCAACCCAGCGAGTGCTTCTTCCTCTGTAGTTCCCCATATTGTGTCAGCCTGATAAAAAGCCTGTTCCAAACATGGCACCGGTTGCTCAAGAGTGTAATATGGTCCATGCCATAGAGGCGACCAATCGTTGTACTCTTGCCATGTATATTGGTATCCGAGCCCAAAGGTGGTACCATGATTTTTCAGCTGTATTGGTTTGGTGATACCTTGGAGGTTTTTCCCCAACCCTTTGTCGGGTTCATATCCAGACCATGCTAGTATGCTTTTTATTTTATTACTCCACCACTTATCCTTCTCGACGGCATTGACTCGTTCGATGTGATGATAGGTTTCCCCTCCTAGCCTTCTTGTACGTATAATGGCTGGGATGGTTTGACTAGTGTAGATGGGGTTACTTCCATCTCCGTGAATGATTACCTCCTGAGGGTTCCATTCGAATTTCACGGCTTGATATAGTGTGGAGGGCACGGCTCCAGCAGAATGGATCCATGGTCGGCCCAACAGAAGATTATATGAGGCTGGTATGTCAAGCACTTGGAATTCAACGTCGAACCAAGTTGGCCCCATTGATCGAGGCCAACCTTGTACTACTATGAAGTAGCAAGAGAGGTCGAAACAACTTTTACCCGAGAAGGTCGGGATCAATTTTCACAGGGAGCTAGATATTAGAGTTGAGTTTTTATCTAAATTGGTGTTGCATATTTGTTCCTAATTGCACTTCTAAACATTGTTGGTTTTGATTTAACTTCTAATTTTATACTACTACAATGCTAAATTAGGCTAAGTAAAGATAAGATTAAACTATTGAGAGTTGTTCAAATAGATAAAAAGCACTAGGGTAGTGACTTTCTCCTAGGTGGTTAATTGACGGATTCTTGAGTCTAAGGCTAGATTGTCACATTTGTGGAGTATGATATAACCATTGCACGATTCTACTCACTCTATACCTCTCGGTAGTTCGAGTGATTTTGCCCGAATTGACTTTCTCAAGACCAATTGGGTATGCAAATTTGTGCAAGCAATTGAGATTCAAGTCGGGTATTACTATCTCTAGGTTTAACCCTTTAATTGGGGCAATCAATATCTTGAATACGCTCCAATTCCTTGTTGGACCAATTTCATGGACTTAGGCTCTCTTTCTCAAGAAGAGCCAAAGTGTACTAGGCATGAACTAGTGTTTGCAACCACTAATTTAACATTAAAACCCTAAATTAGTTCAAATATCAAACACCCATAGACAATCAAGCATCAAAACACAAGACAACAATTACCCACACTAGGGTTGAGCCACAACTCAGGCTAATGGGTCTAGCTACTTATAATTATAGAAGAAAACAAAGAAATAGATGAAGAAAAGTCCATAATAATTAATTACTAGATAAAACTTGAAGATTCAATGTTGAAACTAAGCTAAAATTACTCAAAATGGTAAAAGAGAGGAGTTCACGAGCGCAGCTCTGTCCCCAAAATCTATCTGATGACCTAAAAATGGGAAAAAAACTATATATAATAGGCTAAAAATTCTGGACAAAAATACCCTTGCGGGTCTAGTGCGGACCGCACAAAATCGAGTGCGGCCGCACTAAGGCTCTTGGCTTGAATATTCTCCTCTCTAAAGTTAGCCACGGCGGACCGTGCAAAATGAACAGTGGCCGCGGTGGCTCCTATTGAGGTCCGCATAAAATGGACGCCGGACCGCATTGTCCAGGTTCCTCTAAAATGTCACCTCTCTGAACTTGAGCTCTACGGACCGCACGAAATCGGTGCGGCCGTAATGACATCAATGTGGTCTGCACAAAATCCTTTACGGCCGCATTCCCTGGCTGACTAAGAAGCATACTCTCTGATCTTTATCTTTGCGGACCGCACAAAATGGTGTGCAGCCGCACTGGACCTGTTTGACTGAGCTTGGTCTTGGTCTTGGTCTTGATACTTGTGCAAGTTTCACTCCTTTTTGAGCTGGTTTTTGACACCTTGTCACCTTGTTGATCAAACCTGCAATCAAGTACAACTAGTGAGCCTTTGGGACTATTTTGTACACATTTCTAATCTAAACTTAAGCAAGAACGAGTGTAAAATGCATCATAATCCCTAGTTATCAACTCCCCTAAACTTAAGCTTTTGTTTGTCCTCAAGCAAACAAAATAAGACCCACCCTTTGAGAGTCAATCCAAGAAAATTCAGCTGACCTAAAGTGACCTCATCTTGCATCAATTGGGACTAATAATTGCCCTAAATTCAAATAAATCATTAACAACATTCACTCTTTTAAACACCATTAGTTTAGTATGACATAAGAGAATCAAGAGTTGACTCAACACATGAAAGAAACTCTTTCTATTACTTTGGTCGTTGTGGAACCCAAACTCACACTTCCTCAACTCTCCCTAAGTTTTAGCTCACCTTTAGGATAGTGGCACTCAGAACGAGGTTAATGGAAATACACTCATCTCTCTCAAGGAACAGTCACAAGTCCAGCTCTAAGTACCATATGCTTGCCCCTTATGTAAGTCACCACTAATGAAAGTTTCATTCAACTCAAGATCATATAGGGCTTTTGTGATAGTGAAGGTTTTTGGTTCAGGGTAGGAAATGTTTGATTTAAGTAGATTCCATTTTCCCTTTAGCACTTCTTTTGCTTAATTTTGGCACTCATTCACTTGACTTTTTAAGTCATTTCACTTCTTTCTAAGGGGTTAGAGAGACACACTGTCACTCTTTTTTGTTCATTTCAAATCTTCTCCTTTTTCAACTTTCCACACCTTTCATTCTTTGCTTTTATTCTCAAATCATTTCTACATTTAACATTCTTTTTGTCTTTTTGCTTTTCTTTCTTTTTCATTGCTTTTCCTTTTCTTCATTTTGTACATTTTTACCACTTTGTTGCAATCCTCATCTCTCCCCCCAAACTTATACTTTTTTCCATATGCTAAGGAAAGATCGGGAGCCAAGAGAGGGTATCTTTTAGAATGGGTATGTTTATCATGGTTCTTGAACAAAAAAGGTCTAAGGCTCAAAAGGGTTGACTAGATATTTTATCATTGGTGGGCTATGAAAGTGTTCAAGATATCATTTGGATCAAAGAGAGCCTATAATCATGTCTCAAGTCAAATTACACTTAGGATTTCGCCTAGACGTTATTCAGGGCAAGTTACAATGGCTCGGGACTTGGACTTACAATTTTAAATTCTCACCACGCAAGTTATTAAGACTTGCAATCTTAAATTCTCACCTTAGATAAGATTTGAGCACACAATGGTCCCGAAAAACCACTTGATGATTATCGGCCAACACAAGAGTCTCAAGGTCACAACTTTCACCATCATATACACAACGATTTGTTTTTTACCATAAGATTAAAGGCAAATGTGTTAGGCCCAAGAGAAGAAGCAAAAAGAAAAAAACAGAGTCGAACCCTTAAGAAGGTTGTCATGTCATTCATCTTCGAGAAGAGCCACTCGGTTCACATAAATTCCACCTTTGGAAAGAACCATGGCATTAAGAAAACCAAAGGCTTATTGCAAAAACTCAAAACAAGAAGCTACGAATATAAAATAAGAATCTAAGAAAAAGAAAAATGCGGAAAGTAAACTGAATATACAAAAGGGGATTTAACCGAATATACAATAGGGGAGATGAATATATACAATGAAACGTAACTTTTATATACATACCCAAGGTAAAAAGTACGAAAAATGTAATAAAATGCTGAAATTACATACATACCAAAGATAAAAAAAATCATAAAATCTATCATATATATACAGTCATCCAAATCCAAATAGGCCTAGCCCCTCAAATGAAAGCTAGCATTGTCCTCAATGTCAACTAAGCAAAATAAGCACAAAAATATAGGAAAGGGGAAAAAGAAACTCCCTATGGGTCGTCCGTCTGCATGGGATCCTCTGTGGTCCCCGGGTCCCCTGTATGCTCAGGAACCTGTGACTGGCTCCTTATACTGCTGGGACCTGAGCCTGAACCTGGACTGGCTCCTGGGCTACATCCTGGAGCTGGCTGGAGGCATCCTCTGGTGGGTCCGCCAACTGAATGACTGCATCATCGGACTAGGGGATCACTTTCTTCCTCTTAGGAGGCCTCCCGGACTACTCTGGATGGGGATGAGCTGCTGGTGCTGGGTCATGGAGTAGCAAATCCAAAGGTGATCCGCCTTCAATCTCTCAACCTTGACCCGTAACTCCTTCACTGACTCTTTGGAAGCCCGAGTCTTCCTCATCTTCTTTGCCTCCCTAGCAAGCTCCTTGAGAGCCTTTCTGTATGAATCAACAGAGTCCGTGAGCAATTTTTGGTTCTTAAGGATCTTCTTCTAGTTGTCCAGAAGATCCTTGAGAGTGTCATCAATGGACTGTGGGACCTGTGGAGGAGGAGTTGTTGACTGAGCTTTCACAGTAGTAGATAATACAGACAACTTAGAAGTAGTTGTCTGCATATAGTTGTTGATGCTGGTGAGGGCCTGGCTAAGACGGTGGGCAGTCAATGGATACGCAGTGGTGGAAGGTATCTCTGGATCTGTGGAAATGGACCTGGGGCCATGTCTGCTGAAGTGGAGGGAGGCTGCGGAGTAGTCACTACCACTACTGGCTCTTCAGACTGGCCAGTTGAAGCAGTGGATTTTTCCTTGAAGTGCCCTTATGGTTGTCATCACCCTGTAGGCTATAGCACGAGAAAGGTGCATTTGCCTTCATTTTCACGTCAAATCTGCACTTTTCCACATTTTGGTCCTTCAGGTACATGGTCAGGAAGTTGGGGAATGGTTAAGACCTGTCACCCTCATTCACTACCCGTGTAATGACCCGGGCATCATATTCCCGACATTGATCGGGTACCCCGCCATGATTGATAGATCGCCCGGTGAATTGGGAGTGAGTTGTCATGGGTGGTAGGATCTAGCCTGCTGCACACAAATGTCTCCCACCCCTTCGCCTCGAAGTTCAATGTCCTCCTCAATATCTTCACCCCCGCAGTCAACCACTCGGGGGTGGTACCTGGGATTTACCAAGTACTCCGCTAACCACGGACGAGCTTCTTCACACAACTTCATTTTGTCCAAGTACAGGGACTCATCCTCCTCCGTGTCTTCACTTTCTGATTCCGCACTTTGGTGACCGTGGTACCCTTTTTGATGTGGGCCATGTTGGTGTAGAATTCTTTCACCAAGTGCTCATTGGAGTCATTCACTGCCCTATGAAATAGTCCCATCCAGCTCATTCTCTGAATTACCTCAGCACATTGGGATTGTGAGGCAAAAGATCCCGGGAGATAATTTTTCTCTCAGTTATCAACCTCTTTTCTAGCAACCACTCTCTGAATTTGTGGTAGGCGATTTCATTAACGAACCGGTCCTCCCATGACTCCGAGTTCCTAGTCCGCTCTACCCCACCAACTTGTGGCTCACCCCCTTCTGTTTCTTCCCCTTCTTCTGCTACTGCACCCTCTCCGGATAATGAAGCTGTAGGAGAGGTGGAGTACTCATCCTTACTGCCTTCAGCTGAGCCTTTAGGCGACTCAGAGGATATATGAACTGAGGCTTGGGCAGTGGGGGATGCTGGAGGTGTATCTCTCAATCGGTTCCTCTCCGGCCAGTCAGGAACAAACTCTAGCACGGAATCTGAAGATGCCTCTTGGGAGGGCTCATACTCACTCCCCAACTTGTCAATAGCCATATCTGCAGCTTTTATGATCTTCCTTGTGTTCTTTATATTTTGTCAGGCTTGTGGGGTTAATTTTATCATTGCTTGCTTCCTACCCCGGGAGGACTCTCCTCTTCCTGTTTGTTTACCACCTTTGCCTCTTGATCTTACCATTGTCTGCAAACAACATTCATTCATGCTTAGTTAGTATCCATAAAAACAATGAAATGCAAGTTGCAGAAAAAATATATTGTAGACAATTTAGAATTACAGAGTGCGGACTGCACAAAATGTAGTGCGGCCGCAAAAAGGCCATTGCAGACCGCACAAAATCCATTGCAATCCGCACAGAGGTGGGGTTCAGACTACCTACTCTCTGAATCTATGCACCGCGGACCACACAAAATGGCAATGCAGTCCGCATTGAGGCACTGTGGACCGCACAAAATTCAATGCGGTCGTGGTCCTCAAATGTTCAGCTTGCAGGACTGTCATTGCGGTCCGCACAAAATACTATTGCGGATCGCACAAGGGCACCGCATACTGCACAAAATCAACCGCGGTCCGCACTGAGTGCCCCGCAGCAATACCAACCTAGGGTTCATGTTTTGATCAATTTTTGTCCAATTTTTCACCTATTGATGAGTCCCTAAGTGTTGGTTCAATGTTAACTACCTAGTCGCACTTAAAACAAAAAATTAACTAACCTTAAGGTACAAAATTAAAAGAAAAACGAGTAGGGAAAGAAGAAGAAGAAGAAACAAGGAAAAACAAAAAATTAATGAAAATAATAAGATTAAACAAATGAAAAGGGTTTAAAGTACCAAAAATGAAATGCTAAGATGATGAATAATTAAGTGTAATACAGAGAGATGAACAGTGATTTTTTTATGCTCTGAGATGAGAAGGATCGAAAAGTCCAAAAAGAGGGCCCCAGGTCATATTTATAGAAAAAGGTCCTAGGGCCCAGCTTACCTACCCACCACGGTCCGCACAAAATGACACCGCGGTCCGCGGTGCTTGAAACCATAGGGCAATGACAAATTGACCACTGCGAACCACACCAAATGTAATGCGACGGCAGTGGACCACCACAGACCGCACAAAATGCAATGCGGCCGCGGTGATAAACTTCAGAGAACCCCAACTTTTGTCAAATCATCAGTGCAGTCCGCACTGATTTCTTACCCCCGCACAAAGGTCTTTGTGGCCGCACAAAATGAGTACGGTCCGCATTGACAACTTCAGAGAGTGATCATTTCCCAACTTTTTCCTGCACTGCATCAACACAATCCTACAACATCTCACAACCAGCCAGTCCAAAAATAAATCCTACACTACAATAAAAAACAAAGAAAAACAAGAAGAAAAACACATAGGTTGCCTCCCAAGAAGCGCCTGATTTAACATAGCAGCACGACGCAGGTTACCATCAAATCATTTGAGATGAAGAAGTATCACCACGTGGCTATCATCAACTTTTCCCAAGCAATGCTTGACCCTGTGCCCATTCACTCTCAAAACTTCCCCATTTTTGTTCTTCAAATCAAGTGCACCAAATGGAGTTGTTATACCCCGTTTTAACATGGTCAAATTAGAGTATAACATATTGGTGATTCCTAAATTATTAACTAAAAAGTCACCACCTGACTATATATTAAAAGGTGAGTTAGGGCACCTAAATTATCTATTGTCAACTCTGTAAGGTCTAATGAACATTAGAGATCGTGAGGTAAGAGTTCAATTAATCTTAAAGAGAAGGTATAAGGCACTCCTTAAGATCCATATTAAAATGGTTTACCAACCGGACTTCAGTAAATTAAGGCTAAGAATAAATGTAAAGTTCAAAATAGATAAACTCTTTTGGGAAAAGAAACTAACTATGTGACAGGTGTTAATAAGTAAAGATACTGAATTTATATTTATATAAAAAAAATGTAGCTCTTATGATTTTAAAGAGGAGTTCGAACTCATAAGGCCACTTGAAACTTGAACTACAAAAGAAAGAATGATTCACAAAAAAAGGGCGATTAGCCTGCTTAAAAATCTGGTTTTTGGAATATAAAAAGTAGCTTTTTCTATTAGAACTTGCATTCATGACTAAAATCGACCCAACAGCTGCTTAGCTAAGTGATGAAATTACTATCCTTTAGAAAACGTTTTAAGCTCTTTGTTAGGCATGTTATTATGAGCCAGCGTGTAAATATGCTGAATAGATAAAACGGCTACTGATTTAAGGTCATTATATCTAAGACCATATAAAATGAACATTTCTTTCACTAACTGGAGACTCAATCGAAGTGTAAAAGCAACAAAGATCACATAACCAAAAAAATGTTAGTCACACAAACAATAAACAAATAAAGTAACAGATTAGTGAGTCGAGATAAACAAAGCATAACAAGAATAAAAACAAAACTATAATGATAAAGAAGGGAGTATTTGCTGCTTCCTCTCGCTTCTCTTTAGTTTTCTGTTCGGATGCAATTCGTGAGAGCGAGAGGCATGAATGAAGGAGGAGGCGCAAATGCTGGTTCTAGATGGTGGCATCGAGTTTTCGAAGTGGAACTCCACAGTACTCCCATCGTGTATTTATGCAAAACAAAGGAGAAAATAAAATGGGTTAGAAAGGAATCTGACTTTAAACCTATATGATAGCGAGAGAAAAAGGTGAAGTACTAATAAGATTATATTGCTGTCATTTTCATGCCATGATAATAAATTTAACTAATTGCAGCATACAAAAAAATAAGAAACAAATTTTAAATAAACCATAATCAGTCTTAACATAAGCACTCTCCTTTCTACTTATAAGTATCAAAATACGTGGCTTGTAAATTAGAGCAATGCCTAACCATATGTTTTCTACAATAGAGTAGAGCAAGTTGTAAATCAAATATTAATATGCCAAATAATCACACTTTAACAGACATTAAAAAGAAACTATATATATACTTTTATAACCATACTTTCACGATGAAAAGAAAATGATGTCATTGCAGCAAAGTTTGGGAAAGCTACAGTCATGTTCATTATCGTGGACCTAAGACATGAACTACCAGTGCTTAAATAATATGTAGAACATAGTCATCACTGTTCAACTAGATCTGGGCATGAACCTCACTAAACAAATTTAAAACATGGTAAGACTTCAAATTTAAATAAATATCAAACATAAAAGAAGTCGTATCACTCAAAGTTTTCATCATTGGACTCCAAATATAAGCTGTGGCATTTAGCGGAAAAAAATACTTTAACCAAAATAGATTTCTGGTCATACTTTAATATTCATGTACATACAAATCAAGATCTTAGAACATGAATTTCTAAACAAGCAGAATACTTTGAGCAAAAGAATTAAATAAGTGAAAGAGCAGTCTGATTCACCTTCCACAGGGCAGTGAACTTGGGGCCGGGCTTGCGAGGCTTCAGATCTATTCCTCTTTTAACTAGATTGAGTCGAACAGAGATTGAAAGATGGAACAACACTAAGGTCTTCGAGAGATGATAGTCAATGTCAAATGAATAGCTTAGCTTGGAGATTCTTTTAGATGGTAAAACTTGGTATTTAGAGGGGATTCCCAGATGCCCTTCGGATGAGAATTGAAGAGGTATTTATAGGCCAAAAACACAGATCTAGGGTTTCATGAGCGGGAATTGAAATTTTCAGATTTCAAACGAAGTCAAATAGAGTCGTTCAAATCCGAACGTTGGAATAGTAGCAGGGATTCACGTGATTCGCTCAGCTCTTTCGCGAAATGGTAAGATCTTGGCTGAGGCGGATAGATTCGACAAGTCTTGTAGTGTAAAAATGGGAGGATCCTCTCTTGGTCATCTATACACGCCAAAATCGGATGAGAGAAGTTCTTATTTTGCTTGAAATAGGGCGGACAAAATTCTACTTTGATTGTTGGAGGTTGAATTTTAGTCAAAAATGGAGAAGAGGACAAAGGCAGCTATGAAAAACAAGGCTAAGAGAGGCGCTGCTTAGAGAAAGAAAATAAAACCCTAATTAGTTGGACAGACTTGGGCTTCTGGGAAGTGGGCTCGATTTCGGGGCTGGTGTTAGCAGATTTAAGGCAATTGGGTTTGTTTGGGTTGGTCTGAAAATATTCTATTGGACTGATTTGGATCGAAAATCATGGTCTTCCCCTTCTTCAAATTAATTTAATTGGGCTCCCATATCTTAATAATTTGGACCAATAAAAATACTTTAAACATACATAATATTACATATTAAAATAAGTAATTAACTCAACAATAGTCATATTAATGGTAATATAAATAATAATGCTAATAGTACTAATAATAAAATAATAATTTCGTAATAATAGTAATAGCTTCAATTATTATAATTATAATAAATAGTAATAATAATAGTAGTACTAAATAACTAAAAATAGTGCATTAGATTATTAGTGACTAGGGAGCACCAGAAAATTAATTAAAAGAAATATAGGACAAAACTGGGTATCAACAGGGGTCACAAATACCACTTCAAGAGGTCCACTCCATTTTGACTTAATTTTCTCGGAAACAGACGTAACTGAGAGTTGAACAAGAGAACCAAATCACCCACTTTGAACTCCTTGCTACGAGCATATTTATCATGAAGGTACTTCATCTTGTCCTTGTACAAGGACGAACTAGAGTAGGCATGGAATCAGAATTCATCAAGTTCATTAAGCCGCTCCACACGAAGATTTGCTGCCACATCCCATTCAAGATTTAACTTCCTCAAAGCCCACATGGCCTTGTGCTCTAAATCAACCGGTAGATGGCAAGCTTTCCAAACACCAACCGATATGGGGACATACCAATCGGAGTCTTAGAAGCAGTCCTATAAGCCCATAGAGCATCATCCAACTTCTTTGATCAATTGGTCCTATATGCATTGACCGTCTTTGACAATATACTCTTGATTCCCTTTTTGAGACTTCAACTTGGTCACTCGCTTGAGGATGATAAGGAGTAAAAACTTTGTGGTTGACACCATACTTTGCAAGCAAAGTGTCGAAAGCTCTATTACAAAAATGAGACACCCCATCACTTATGATTGCACGAGGAGTGACAAACCTTGTAAAAATGCTCTTCTTGAGAAATGCAACAACACTCCGGGCCTCATTGTTGGGTAAAGTCACGGCTTCAACCCACTTTGAAACATANCACGGCCTCAACCCACTTTGAAACATAGTCAACCGCCACAAGAATGTATGTGTTCCCACACGAGCTAACAAACGGGCCATAAAATCAATGTCCCATACATCAAAAATATCAACCTCGAGAATGGTATTGAGAGGCATCTCATATTTCTTCGAAATTCCACCCGCTCTTTGACATTCGTCACACCTTTTCACAAGTTCATTTGCATCTTTGTACAAAGTTGACCAATAAAACCCACAACTAAGAACTTTGGAAGCCGTCCTCGCCCCGCCATGATAGCCACCACAGGGAGAGGAATGACAAGTCTCCAAGATACTCAATTGCACTTCCTCCGGGATACACCTTCGGATCACACCATCGGTGCAAATCTTGAACAAGTACGGCTCATCCTAATAGAAATCCAAACTATCCCGTTTGAGCTTCTTCCTTTGGTTAGAAGAGAGCTCACACGGGATTATACCAATTACAAGGAAATTAGCAACGCCCGCAAACCATGACATACCATTTACCGACACCGAAAGGAGTTGTTCATCGGAAAATAAATCATTGATCTCTAGACCATCATGAGGCCTCCCCTCCTTCTCCAAGCGGGACAAGTGGTCCGCCACTTGGTTTTTACTACCCTTCCAGTCCACAATCTCCAACTCAACTCTTGAAGTAACAAAACCCATCGCATCAGTCTCGCTTTGGAATCCTTCTTTGTCATCAAGTACCGGAGTGCGGAATGATCGGTATGGACTATGACCTTGGCACCCATAAGATACGGCCGAAAATTCTATATTGCAAACACAATAGCCAAAAGTTCTTTCTCGGTCACTGTGTAGTTCACTTGAGCATCATTCATTGTCTTGCTCGCATAAGATATCGGATGAAACATTTTGTTCACTCTTTGAACCAAAACCGCCCCAACCGCAACATCGCTCGCATCACACATGAACTCAAAGGGCAAGCTCCAATTAGGTGCGATGATAATAGGAGTGGTGGTCAACTTGTGCTTGAGAAGTTCAAAGGCTTGCATATATCTCTCATCGAATAAAAACTTGGCATCCTTTTCAAATAGCTTGCATAAGGGGTTCACTACCTTCGAAAAGTCTTTAATAAATTTCGTGTAGAACCCCGCATGCCCAAGAAAACTTCTAACTCCCTTGACAGAGGTAGGGGAGTGTAACGACCCGAACC